AACCAGGTAATCCCAGTCACTATTATTGCTATATTGCAATTATATGTTGTTTATTTTTCTAATTTCTCTTTCTCCGTGCATGTATCGAACTATTCAAATACATATACACAGTATCGAGCACTCGAATGAAAACTGGAAGACCGACCACTAATAGTAAATACATATTTATATATTCTCAGGTTCTGCTGTGTCTTGATAATGTGAAGAAAGAGGTTAGTTAGTCTCTGTCCTCTAGGTATCACTGGAAAAAATCGCACGCTTAAAAGGTTGTAAATTTGATGTATATATGATGTAAGTGTCCAAAATGATGTAAATTTGATGTAAATCATTTCCATCAAACTTACATCATTTTGGACACTTACATCATATTTCCATCAAATTTACAACCTTTATGGCGCGCGATTTTTTCCAGTGTATGGGTGGTTCTTTTCTATATTAAAGTTCTGTTCATGTTTTCAGGCTGGAAAGCATGGTTTCAACTAAGCCAAGTCTAGTTCAGTCAATGGCAATAATCACTCTTGCATTATTAGATAAATAGCAGAAAAGCCTATAAGCCAAAACACACTGATAGAGTAAAGATATACCTGCACGTTTGGGTTTAGTGCGATTTGTTAAGGGTAAGATGTTTGTCAAATTTCAGTGTTTTTTTTTCTGGAAAACAGTTAAAATACAATATAAAGACAAGAGAAAATGTAACTTTGTCAATTCGTGTTTTAATTCTGTTTTYGACAAATTTGAATGCACCATGTACACGTCATGCATTTACTTAATAATTAACCAAAATAAAAGAAAACTTTTATCAGGTAATTAAAAAAAATATAGTGTCTACTTGTTGTGGTCCCTTGTGATAGGGGGTAGTCTTGTTGGTCGTCGCCGATACCTTGATCGCAACTCATCGCTGATTGGAGGAAGATCAAACAATCTTGCAGTGCTTGGCTCCATGGGACTTTTAACGCCAAAAACGCTCCTGTCAGAAAACTTAGGACTCCTTAGACCTTGGAAGCTTCTCTCTCRATATAAGGGACTCCTTACAGAATGCGTGTTTCTGCCATCAAAAYCAGGGCTTCTTAGACCATGAGCGCTTCTGTCACAAATCATAGGACTCCCTAGAGGACGGTTAGAATTTCTATTTCTAAATAAAGGACTTCTYCGACTCTGGATACTGTCACCGTACATTGGACTCCAATGATCACGATCAATAGGACTCCGGAGACCACGTGACACCCTATCCCTACATATGTCATCAATACTGTGCCGATGGTTTATTGGTTTCCTTGGATTCAATGTTTCTTGGCCCTGAGAGATGTCATCGTGGAGACACGTTGGAATAAAAGACGGGATGATCTCGTCGTGATCAAACACTCTTCGCCGTCTCTTTTTCTTGGTGTGTGGAATATCTTTGAAAGGATTTCTGTCGTCCAGTGAGGTATCTTCTGTATTTACAGCAGGGCTGCAGGAGCTCACGCGCTTAGCGTTTTTAGGTTGTCGTCGTTCTGATGTTTCTGTTGCTTTTTCAGTCAAAGATGGCAAAGGACTGGTGTAAAATTCATCCTTGGCTCCTGAAGGGAATGGAGTGTGCACATGACGCCGTCTTTTCTTCTTCCTTTTTTCCTTCATTTTAGATTGTTCGGAACTCTCGCAAGGAAACATTCTTTT